GTCACGAAGGTGTTCTCGGAATCAGTCACCTAGTCGTCTTCCTGTTTTGCTGATGCATAACTTTTTGCAGTAAGTGCAAGTTATGCAATGGATTACATTGGTGGAGGTGCAGTGAAGTGATAGGTGAACAAAGAACAAACCTGGCAAACATGTGAATCAAGTTGGTAGCTCCCATGATACTATCTGCTGTCTCAAATGCTGAGTTCCCTACATCAAGCAATAAAATCAAGAAGAGTTATTTAATAAATGTTTTTAACTGAGCAAATTTTCCCACCCAACATCTATGTAACATCTCACCTCTTCCTATGATCAGTACCGTTTGTCCCTCGTAATCATCAGGGTTTGTTGACATTTCAGAGTAACTCTAAAAAATTTTAAAAAAGAAAGAGTCTAAGTTACAGTCATACCTGTACCTACAGTATTAAAAGTATCTGGAATACATATTATAACACTCCTTTGCAACTGTTTTCAGTTGACATTAAGAGCCCTCCTTCTGCCATCCCCAAACCTTTGGCAACAAAATGTTTCATCAAAGTGCAGTTAGTTCTTAAGTATGAAGGTATAGCTATCACTTTAGTGTTTAAAAACTTCAGAATAGGTTGATATCTACATTTTAAGGAGCTAAGCTGTTTTAGACAAAATTCTTCAATTATCATAATTGTTGAAATATTTCCCCTTTCTTTCTCCTTTCTTTCCCCTTCCTCAATGTTGTTAAAAGGAAACTGGACCATCTTAAAGAAACCAACAAGGGGGAAGCAGGATCTTTCAACAAAATTTAAGAGAGGTATAGCTATGATATATTCCTTTTTTTTTATTACTGGTGAAAGAATTTGGTGTCACAAAAACACCTTTTGACTGATGGCTTTATCTATTCTCTTTCCCTGTTTGCCGGGTAATGCACTGATGCTGGAAGGAGACTTCTATTCTAATCATTTGTGAGAAACAAAAGGCCAATTTTAAATTAAAACCCCATCTCTATGACATACCTCTGTGTATTCAAATCCCTTAAACTTTCTGGGGAGATTTTCAACAGCAATACCAGTGCTAACAACACAGAAAAGAACAAAGAGGTTAACAAGTTACAAAACCAAACAACAACTACAACTTAATTACAGTTCATCAAAACAGGGTTTTCAGTAACTTTTTTCACAAATGGCTGCTGATAGTGTAGACTATGCCCTGAAAGGCAGCTGTAGAGTGAAAACCCAAACATGAGGTGGGCTGAACAGATGGCAGTAACCATGCACCTTGTTATATCTTTTTAAAGAAATAACATATCTACCATCTTCTTTTGTTACCTGATAACAAGATTCTTGCAGGTGTAATCAGTATCATTCTGATCTTTGAGGTGAAAAAGAGCTGCATCGCCTTCCCCATGTCTAGACACATGCAGTATATTTGTGTTGTACTGGACTTTCAATTTAAGTTTGGTGGCATAGTCATTAAGATACCTCACCTAAACAGAGAGGAAAAATCAGGTAAACAATATTTTGATTACTTTGATAATAAATGTATGGCACACAAGTAATTGAATAACAGAACAGGGATAGCTCAACAGCCAGAACACTTGCCCATGGGTTCTATTTTTAAACCTGATGTCACACAAGGGTGAAATTTTTCTACAGTTTCTTATCTGTGCACCAAGGGGTTTCTCTCTAAGTTCTCTTGTTTTGTGCCTTCCTTAAGATGTACTAACATGCAAACTTCCACTCTCATGCAGACGCTGCAAACAAATTGCATCCTCACAGATTTCCCTCAACTGCAACCTACTATGTGATTATTTTTTAATACTTTGTCATTGTTGAAGATTTTTCCTCCTGTGGGAGACACAGGGGTCTAATAGTTAGTGTACTGGACTCGAGGTTGAGAGGTCTGGCCGCATCAATATATATGCGTTATTAACCAAGAGTCAAGATGGCTGGATATTGGCCAAGTTCTTTTTACGCATTTTCATGGACCTTTGTCCCAGCTTGTCCATAAAAAATTCGAAAAAAGAACAAGGCTATATTATCCAGTCATCTTGACCAAACAATTTATTATATTGCAAAAAGATTTTGCTTTACTAAGAATTAAGAATGACTTCTTTACTTTGAGAGCTGGGAAAGAAAGCCAACTGTTTATAGCACATCAAACTCATGAGAGTCATTTCTGCTTTCTTTGTTTAGACTATCTTCTGCTGCTTTTTGTGTTTCCATTGCCAAAATTGTCCAAGAATTACGAATGTAGCTCTAATTCTATTTTTTTCAAGCATGGGATCAGTGCAGGCGATATCCCAAGTGGGCCAAGATGGGCCCATCTTGCCTGCTCAGTTAGCCGGTCAGAACACAGGATTTGCCTCATCTTGCCAATGGCCATTGCGAGCAATGTAGTAAGTTGTGTTCTTGGGCAAAACACTTTACTACCAGTGAGAATGCTTCTCTCCACCCCAGAGTACAAATAGGTACCACCAAATTATCAGGGAAGCTTGATGAAATTCAAGAGGTTAACTTTATGATAGACAAGCATTCCGTCCATGGGGAAGTAGTAATACTCCTGGTTGCTAAGGAAACCAGGATAAGCTCTAATTGGTGAAACACTTGGCTCCAGTGCAGACTTTACCATTACCAATCCTCCATAGGAAATATAATCATGGCAAAGGTGATGGGTTTATTCAAATTGGAACAAAACTGGCAAGGTTTTTCTTTTGGGGTAAAATGTCTGAAAGCCAAATAGTACAGTTTACAGTTGCATACTTGGCTGCCAAGCCTAGCCTCTGAATAGGAATGAGGCTAAGGGTGACCTTGTTATGATACAAATGTTGCTGCTTTTCAACTGTAAATTACTTTGCTATTATGATAACTAGATACTGGTCTCTATTCCAACAAGGTCACCTTCAGCCTCACTCCAGATCAAAGGCTTGGTAACTAAGTACACAACTGTAAAATGGCTCACTGGAGTCAGCTCCAAAGAGCTGAGCAAAAAGATATCAAACTCACCAGGATATCAGCATCTGGGAAAAATTGTTTGGAATACTTAGTCATCAAAAGAGACTCATCATCACTGAGAAGTGAATTCCAATCATGACGCATGTTAAATTCTTTGTTTGTTTTTCCTGAAATTGGAGAAAATTGTTTCAAATCAGATTAGGCCAGGAGGTTTAAGTTTCCTTAAAAAAGAAAGATAGTCTAGTGTAAGTAGAAAACTTGATTTGACACAATTAACAAATGGTAAACAACACAGTGTACACTATTCAGTTATGGATGCA